TACGCTGCTTTTTATTTGTGAAAATAACATAACAACATTTCAGCACACTTATATCACCCAGACTAGGCAAAACTCAAAATGTCTTAAAAAAAAACAAACTTGAATCCAAAGTAAAGCACAGTCTGCTCTCTGTGTATTGTGCAGTGGACACACTGGACAAAAAAGAAGCGTAGCCACCCTAGCTGCCTGCAGAAAAGCTAAGGATTCTTCATAAAGAGATGGATTCATAATGTTTTTTTTTTTTACCTCTAATTACCTCTCAGCAGCCAGGTATTAGAGGTCGAGACCCATTTGACTTTTAAATCATTGATAATCAGGCGGTACACCAACTTGTTCGTTTTGATTAAAGTTACCCGCTTTATTAATAATTGCCCCCTGGACTTGTTTATGTTATTCAATGACCTACCAACCTATCATTGCGCACAATGTTTTTATTGACATTGCCATTACAGGGCCCTTAAACAGCTACTAGTTAATGCGAATCTTCTTCTCTTTTCAATTATAACTGAAATAGTAATATTAAAGGCACACTATGCAACATTTTTCAGTTAATTAATGTGTTCCATAACGTTTTGGATGATTAAATGAGTCATTTCAGGTTGAACAAAGGTATTCTTGGCCGCCCTGGTGGTCTGTGGGGGAAATACCGCACTTGCAATTGCAGGAGCCCTCGGCCCGCACCCAGAGGCTCAGAAGTCTCGCGAGAGTCGGTCTTGCTTTATGGCGAGAACTGCTACACGCCCCCAGTTAAAAGCATGCTCGTTGCTAGCACAGTGGCAATCTTTGTGCAGTTATCATGGCGGAACAGCGTGAAAACAGCGAAAGCCCATGTCGGAGCAGGCAAGAAAGAGGAAAAGGGCTCCGGACAGAGAGAGGAGTCGTACACGGGTGAACATCGGGCAAGCTTTTTCCGAATGGCGAGAGCTAAAATAAAAAGAAGGCTGCAAGGCTGACGCGGACCTCGCGTTTCTGCTGATGCGATTGTAAGTAACATTGGAATGGTTTCTCTCTCTCTGTGTGCATGTTCATACTTTCACTGTGTTAGTCATTCGTTGCGTTCGCCTGTCTGCTAAGCTCAAAACAACCGTGCCTGGCTTGACGGAGAAACCAGGAGAACAGCTGTGCATATTTACGACAGTGCACTTTTACTTTCGCCCTTTGGGGGGAGCCTCGCTGGAAAATCAACACCGGTTGCATAGTATACCTTTAATATATAATACCAGCCATTTAAGTGGACCTGTTAATTTGACTCCATTGAAAGCGTTTAGATTGCTTTGTATAGCCAGCAATGCATTCATATTTCAAGATTTATGTATTTTTTAAATCCACAAGGACATTCAAAATTGCTCAGGGATATTGAGTTAACTTTGTTTATTTCTTCTTGTATTTATTACTCAGAGTGCTCCTCACAAGCTTCAGTGATTGTTTGCAACAGTTGTTAACCTAGGGTGAATGCCCTTCGAAGGGTGGTCAAAAAGATCACAGAAGGTCCTTGATGTTTTCCACTGCAAGTTTTTTAAACACAGCTACTACAGCATACACGCCAAGGTGTTTGATAGGCACTTTTTCCATTTCATACAGAACTTTGTGCAAGAGAGGGTCCCCACAGAGTACAGGTGGACACGTTCACTCCCACAAATGATATTAACAGCAAAATCCTGTTTCTATTAGGTGGAAATGTCCAACTAGTCTATCTTTATCACTATATTGTAAGCACTGAGGATGTACATTCCTAATTCAGAGGGATACAACTTACTGAGAGGGAAAAAAGCATACTACCAGCCTGTTGACATGTCCTTTATTGTAATAAAACATTTAAAATTACTCATAAAAGAACCCAGAAAATAAAATCTAATATATCTGATGAACAAACTGGTCATTAGCCACCACCATTGCACAAATCTCCCCTTTCATTTTCTCACTAAAGAGGCTTCTCTCTCTGAACATGCTTAGAACAGATTGTGCCCATGTGCCACCTGCAGCCTCTTCACTTGCCCAACACAGAAAGCCTGCCAAAGCATGCCTTCCCATTAAAGGACTCCATATAGCACAGACAGAATAACAGCTTCTATTTTCATGTGCAACTGTGAATCCTAAAGCCTCTAAATATTACCTCTGCAATAAAGCATGGATCTGAAATTCAAGACAACGTCTTAGCATTATTTAAAGCGCTTGCTATTGATAAACACAAAGTTTTTAACCATGATTTACTACCTCAGTGCTAATGTTTGATGAATGAGTGAAAGGACTTGAGCTCAATGTAAACAGTTTCCACTCAAGGGAACACACAAACAACCTTATGCAAGGGTTAATTGTTTAATAGGTGTCAGTTGCTCTGTTCGAAAACCTAGGACGCATCCTTAGAAGACCGGATTCGAAGGCCGATTACGTCCTTGCGTGGCGCCGTGGTCTGGTCGGATTCCAAGAGTCCTCGTTATGCGGCCTTAAAATGCGTCCTTCTTTTTGCCC